GGTCATCTGCTTTGAAGGGTGGGATTAGGGGTCCACCAGTGCCAGGATGATGGAGGTCCAAGGTAGCATCTCCCCATTTCCTTGGCAAGCAAGCCCCATCTGCACCAGACCTGCCCAAACCCGGAGCAGTCATGTGCCCAGGAGCGTTGTGTTTCATAGCTGTATGGGGTTGGCAGCAGCGGCATTGGCACAGACTTAGGGCACAGCGGAAAGAAAAAAGGCAGGAGAGGCTGGCATGCTAAAGCACATCCATCTTTTGCTCACCTTGGCTGCTATGAGGCTAGAGAACCAGCCTACCCAGTCTAAGTTTAGGATTAGTGAAAAGAACAGGAAGCCTGCTGAGCCTTGGCAAGGGGGAGAGCCACAGGTCTGGGCAAACAGGTACCAGTCAGGGTCAGTTGAAGGGAGGCAAAAAATCTCTGGCTTTCTTTAGTTTAGGCTCTAGAAACCTGAATGGCCTGAATTAGAAACAAGTTGGGAAAGGAGAGACCCAGGCTCTTAGCAAGCAGCAAGGCACCATTGATTTAGCCATAGACCTTTGGAGAAGCAGAAGGGAGTGAGCCCCAGGGGTCGGGGTGTTGTTTCTTTGGCTGAGGGCAAAACCAGAGAAATTTCTGAGTATCTTACCTAGGTAAAGGTGGGGAGGGTGCCTTGGGGGATCTCAGGCCTGGGGCAGAAGGGAGAGAAGTACATGGTGTAATCCAGAGGAAGAAGAAAACAGACCCATCCTGGAAATGAGCAGGGTGAGTGAGGTCTGGAGAAAATGCGCAGAGGCCAGGGTCCTAAGGACTGGAGTGGGGAAGGGCCTCAGCGAGATCTGCTAAGAGCAAGGAAGCTGCACATGGAGCCAGTCTGAAAGGAGAAGACCAGTAAGCTGGGCCCTAGGCCTGTTGTCAGCAATGACTTGTGCCTCGGAGTGAGGGAGTAATAACCATAGTCATCACATCCAGTGATTCTATAGGTTTACAAAGCACTTTACTCAGTATCTCATATAATCCTCACAACCCTGGGAGGTAGGTGCTATTATGTACCTTTTACAGATGAGGAAACTGAGGCCCAGAAAGGCAGGATTCCAAGTCCAGTGCTTTCCACTCAGGATGACTCTGAACTTGGGGCGGAGAGGTCATCTCATCTGTTGTCCTTGTCCTCATCCTCCTAACCGCAGCCTCTTCACTCCCCCCTCACCTCCGCACCCCCGAAGGTCGCCAGTTCCTAACCACCTTCTTTTCCCTCTTCTACAGGATGACATGTACAGGGTCATCGATCAGCAGCTGATGGATAAACACCAGAAGGAACGGAGCCGGTCTGCTTCATCCTTCTCCAGTGGCCGTGGGACAGGGCGGGGGGACGAGCCCAGCGGGGCTGAAGGCAAAGGGCTCTTCTCATTCTTTAGGAAAATTTAAATTGGAAGAAAGCGTGCGGAGGGAGCAGGGCCTGAGGGAGGGGTCAAGCAGCTAGCCATGGCCACACAACACTACTATTCAGCCCAGCAAACTGGCTCAGCGAGCCCTGGTCCGGGCGGGGGTCCCGCTGCCTGCCAACCTGCCCATCCCACAGAGAGCCAGACTCGTTTTCCCCTCTGTGGGGAAGTGAGCAGCCCGCTGAGCCAGGCATGCTTTGTACCCCCACACACACACTAGTGCTGCTGAACCCCGGGGAGAAAAAGCAACAGCCCTCTGGAGGCCCCGTCTGCAAGAGCCAGGTCCAAGTGGTATGCAGGGCCTTAGTCGTCCTTGCGCCTCAGCTTACCCCAAGTGCAGGAAGCCTTTTTGCTTCTGCCAAGGCCCACGGGAGTCTCTAAGCCTAGGGTGGCTCAGAAGGGCAGAGGGCCTCTGTGATCCTCAGGCAGGGAATGAGCTTGGGCTGCTCCCCCAGGAGCCGGGAAAGTTTGGTTAACCGGCCATCCCCTACCTACCTGCAGCTCCCCTCCCACACCACCCCACCCACTATGGGAACCTCAGCGGCGCGGGGAGGAGGGAAGGACCTCTCTGTATGCCGCAGGAGCACATTCAGAAGCCCTGTCCCGGCTTTGCATCTCACCCAGGATCTGGGCTTGAGGCCCGACCCCCTAAACTGCCTCCTCAGGGCTTGGTCCCAATGGTTGAGGCGCCAAGGTTGTAGTAAGAAAAGGACCCCTGCTGGCCCGCTGCTGTTGAGTCTGCATCAGCTGGGCCCAAGAGACAGAGATTGAGATATACTGAGCATCTCTCTCTGGCTGGAACCAGCTTGTCCTGCACTCCAGCAGCCAGGGCTGGGACCCTAAGCCTAAACCCCTGGCCCTCCAAGAGAAAGGCAAGCAGGGAGGCTTCAGATCGGCGCTCCCTATTCTACCACCCTGGGCAGGGAGGGGGGCGGTTTTCTTCCTTCATCGGTCAGTGCATACACATGCACTCATTTTGTTTCAAAGCGCTATCTAGGACTCAGCTCAGGCTCACTGTGTTTGTGGCTCCAGGCCCTGGGGGACCACACAGGCTCCTCCTTCTCAGTCGATCCATCCCTCTCCCCATAACCTCAGCAACTGAAGAACACTCACCCCCAAGAAGAGAGGGGTCACGTTTAGGGCCAGAGAGCAACCCAGTGCTTTCTTGTTCCTGTTTCCTGGGGGAAGCTGGGCCTCCCCTGGCCATGGGTGCATCTAGCCCTTTCCTCCACACAAGCTAGGCCGCAGGGCCAGGTGAGTCCTTCCCCAACCACCAAGCAAGCTTTCCTGGGCAGGAACACTCCAGGGTGAGGCCTTCAGCTAGATCCACCCACCGTGCCCAGGAGCCTGCTGGGGTGGAGGGGGAGGTGGCCATTGGCCACTCCATCCTAGCCCCCCCCCCCCCCCCCCCCCCGCCCCAGACCCCAAGGGAGTTTGAGGGTAAAGGGGACGGTTCCTAGCAACTCTCCCTTCATCCTCTACCCCATCTGACCTGCTGCTTCTGCTCCCTTTGAAGCGGCAATGGAGCCCTCTCTGCTGCGCAGACCCAAGCCTGCATTCAGAGAAGTTTAGGCCAAAGGTCTGCAAGTCTCCCCAGAACTTCTATGGGGGGTGGAAAGCACAGAAGAGAAGGGACTAGTAGAAAGAACCTATCTATAGATGTGTACATACCACAGGGCTGGAATTTTTGTATGTAGCAATCGTGTAAATACATGTATGGATTTTATAATATACATATTATATATATAAATCTATAAAGGCATATTTTTAGAAAAAAAAAAGATCCACAGCTTTTGTAAATAGTCCAAATCAGAATAAAATCAATTTCTATAGAGCTGCATTGGCCTTGGTTATTCTGGACTTTGGGCTCAGAATCACTCCTCTGCAATCACCCTGGTGAGTTCATGAGACAGATACTCCATCCCACATCCACAGAGTCACAGGACTGAAGACGGAGCCTAAGCTGGGTGCCTTGTGTCTGGATGGAGAGATAGGCACAGACCAGGCCTCCACGGTGTGCTGCACTGTGTGTCTGCTGTGCTCGGCCAATTCAAACCAGCCCAGATCCAGGGTGTGAGGAGACTGAAAGAAGCTGGGTATTCCAACTCCCCCATTTTACAGATGAGGAAACTGAGGCTCAGAATTTACACAAGGTTGCATATTTCAACCCGGGTCTTCCAACTCCTTTCATTATAAATCAGTAATAAAAACAGAGAAAAGACTTGAGTGTGATGGGGAGCCGGCGGAGTGGGGGGAGGGACCCACTCCTGACAAGTTGCACCAATAGGAAAACCTCGAGGGAATGGCTCCCCCAGCCCTCTCTCCCAAACTCTCCTGCTTTTTGGTGCAGCTGAGGGAAGGAGTCATCACTGGATCATAGCCAATGTGAACACGCCCTTCCCGACAAGCTGGGAGGCTAAGCCGGCCTATAGCATCCCCTAATGAGCAAGATGAGAAAAATCATCTCATGTGCCCACAGCCCTGGAGCCCAGGCTCCCTGCAAACCTACTGCACACAAAGGCTTTTGGCTCTAGTCCGTCTTTCTCAGTGAGAACAAACGCTGAATGGCACCCCTGGCATCTCACCACAGACAGCTTCCAGCCAATTCCTCTGATCTGAGGGAAAGTGATACCCAGCGTCGACCTTCCACTGGACAGAGCCGACCTCTAGCCAGCAGTTCCCAGGGTGGGAGGCGTCTGCACCTGCACCAGCCAGCCCTTCAAGACCATTCATTCCCCCCGCAGAGTACAAACAAGGGCTGGCTATGTATACAATGGGATGGGAAGGAGCCAGGTCCAGCCCGAGCACAGCTGGAGTAGAGGAAACAGACCCTGGAAGGATTTGGCAGCTTATAACCTTTATTTTTAGTATTTTTTTTAAAAAGCATAATTAGAAACTTTCAATACAGAAATAATCCTAGTAGATCACTGAAACGTTCCATTGTTTGACAGGAAATTTCACATTGCATCTCCTAGGGCTGTGGCCCCTCCCCACACCCCACCTCCCCTTCCCCCCCAGCCCCCTCCCAGTCCCTTCCCATCCACATGGTCTATCTTCCCCAACCTGAGCTGGCCCCTCCACCAAAACACACCCCACCACGTAGGCCTGGGAAGCCCCGCCAGATCGAGAAGGCTCTCTCTCCTCCCTAGAAAGGGCCCTCTCACCTCCTCAGCCCAGTCGGGTTTCAAAGCACGGACACTCATTAACTCTCACATCAAGAGTAAACAACAGAATCCAGAACTTGCCCACATGGAGCAGGATTCTCAGCCACTCCTGAGCATCCCTTGGGGCACCTACAGCCCCATCTCCAGCACAGCCCTAAGCAGCAGTGAACCAGCTCCCGCCCAAACCCACCCTTGGGGGGGGATGAGCAGGGAGAAAGTGGGATGGCTGCCTGGTGGGGGCTGGGGTACTCCACCACCCTCTAACTCAACAATTCAAGTCTTCTCATTTCCAGAGCACTTTCCCTAATCAGCCTACTTCCCATCCCGCCCCCACCCCCACCCCCAGACCCAACCCAGTTCCTCCCCCTCCACTGCCCCAAAGCAAAGGCCCAGAGAGAAGCAAAAGCTTTTGGCAGTTCTGGGACGAGGAGACGGGTAGACGACATCCCCAGTTTTTATTGATTAAAAACCCGCCCAACAGTGTTTACATGGAAAATCTGCAGTGACTGATCCGTGATGTGATTGTCCAATCAAAACTCTGCATGGAAATCATTTAGGAAAAAAAAACCTATTAAAGTAATTTGCAGCGAGAACATAAATTACTCCCAGGCCACGTGATCCTTTTTAGGGGGGTGTTAAGGAGGTATGGGATTCAAGCGCAGGGGACCTTGGCCAGGGTCCCCAGGCGCCCACGGGACTGTGCTAATTATGGTCAGCAGCCCCATGTCTGTCCCCCTCGCCCCTGCCTCCCACCCCCAAGAAGCTGTCATTGCTGCCTGGCCCATGAAGAGGGCCTTTCCCCAGGGCCAGCAGCCCCTCCTCACCTCCTCAAGCTACCCAAGCGACAGACCACTGGGGAAACTGAGGGCCAGGATCCCAGCCCTGTGGACAAGCAGTCCCGAAGGTTGTTCTAGAGCATGAAGAATCCAGGCCTCACAGTATTTCTAACTTGTTTCAATCCTTCCAAAACCAGGACCACCAGAGGGGTAGGGCACTGCCGCTACTGCTGCTCCCCTGAGGCTCCAAAGGACAGGGCCAAGGGAGTTTTTTCAAATGATTTGATTTGGCTTCATTTTCTTTATAAAAAAAAACCTGTGACCCTTGCCCTCCCCCCACCCCCCAATCCCCTGGCTTTCTGCTGCAATTTAAACATTTTGGTACAAACTTAAGAGCCTAGATGCTCCTGTGCCTGCAGTTCAGAGAACCGAGGAGGAGGAGGAGGAGGCCAGGAGGCAAAAAGGAATATTCATTGGCCAAAGGACAGGACTCAAGCTCACATAGAGAAGCAAGAGAATGGGGTGAAAGAGATGACCTGACTGGGGAAGAGCCACGAGGCCCCCCAGCTGCCAGGAAGGGGCAGGAGGTGGGGGAGAGGAGGACAGGAGGGCAAGCCTGGGTCTGGCAGGCCACGGCTCACCCCAGACAGAGCTCGCAGCACAGGGAGGGAGTGCTGAATCCAACAGGGACATGAGGGGCATGACATGGCCACCTGAGCAAGAGAACAAGGAGTCCCTAGCTCTGTCTGGCCAGGCCAAGGGGGGCAGGGCCTGATCCTGACATCTGGGGAGCTGCTTGTGTCTGGGAACGAGAGGAGGGACAAAGGAGAGCGTCCTGGTGGCTTGGCATTAAGGAGGCCAAAAGCCCGAGCGAAATGAGGATGGCGCAGCTGGTTAAAGCAATATACATTATGTACAAACTCTGGGTTAATCAGTCCGCTCGGCTGGCAGCGTCCGCACCCGTGCTGTGAGCGCCTCGGCCCTGGGACAGAGGGAAGCACAGAGGAGAGGGTGGATTCACCCGACATCTTCTTGGCACTCCAAGGGGAGGAAAGAGTGCCCATGGCACCTCCCAATAGAAAACGTGGAGAAAAACATCTTTAAATAACGGCACGAAACTGAGAATGTCCCCCCAGGCCCACGGCGGGTGGCGGGGCCACAGCGCAGTCTCTGCAGCAGCGCGGGTGGGGCATCAGCAGCACCGCTTCTTCCGTTTACTGTTCTTCGTGAGCTTCACCACGTCGTTCTGTTGCTGCTGCTGCTGCTTTGCTAAGTTCTCTTTCTTCGCTCGAAGCACCAGCTCTGTGATGCAGTTGAACATCTGCAACAGACAAGGGACGGCCAGAGATCCGTAAGAAATACTGTTTAAAGGGAAGACGGGGCAAAGTCACCAGCCGCCAAAGGCTAGAAGCAGCCCCCTCCCAAGAGTGCAGTCAGCTCCAGACAAAAGCTATGACCCATGGCAAGTGGGTAAGAATCCACAGAGCCCCTCCCTCGGCCACCCCTTCCACTAGGCCCCCCACCCTCTACCCCCAAGGTCCCACTCCACAGACCCCCTCCCTCGGCCGCCCCTTCCACTAGGCCCCCCACCCTCTACCCCCAAGGTCCCGCTCCACAGACCCCCTCCCTCGGCCACCCCTTCCACTAGGCCCCCCACCCTCTACCCCCAAGGTCCCGTCCCACAGACCCCCTCCCTCGGCCACCCCTTCCACTAGGCCCCCCACCCTCTACCCCCAAAGTCCCACTCCTCGCTTCTTGCTTTGGAAAGGGACCCCTGTCCAACAGGAAGGAGCAATGCTCCAGGTCCAGCAGAACATTTGTGGACTCCTAGATTTCCTGTTATTCTAGGGAAAAGAGGCCAGAGAGAGCACAAGACGAATGATCATGGCTCTCTAGAATCTCCCTAAAGCCCATGAGAAGCCCATCTAGACTTCAAAGGAAGAGCCTTAGAAGTCAATCTCACCAGGAGGCTGGAGCCCCCAAGGGGTGTGTCCTCCACCACTATCACTTTGGGTTACCATCGACAACCAATACCTTCTGCATCACCTTCCCCAAACCCCGCAGCCAAGCAAAAGGCACTGCTGTCCCCCCACGGGAGAGAGACGCTCTGTAATGGCACCTGGAAAACTGTGAGGCTCTGGGAATGCTTGAGAGGCCACCGGCCACCCTTGGTTTTGTTTCTGCCCACCAGCCAGGTTTATTTTAATGCCTTGGGCAACCTCGTCCGTCAGCCCCAATGATAGCTAGGCTAGGGGTAAAGGAAATCTGGGGAGCGCTGACACATGCTAAGCTAAAGCCAGGCATCTAGGAAGTGTTTCAGAAATTGGCGCCCCATGGAGACCTCCCAGTCCTGAAGACTGACTTCTCCCACAATTCTCCCTTCAGAGGCCAGGACTTTACCTCTTCCACATTAACGTTCTCCTTGGCGCTGGTCTCAAACAGCTGGATCCCCATCTGCCCAGCAAACTTGTAGGCATCTTCCGTCTCCACCACCTTCCGCTCAGGGTCATCATTCTTGTTCCCCACTGTAGGGCAGATCAGGGTCAGAAGAGTCCCAGGGAGAGAAGCCAGCCCGGCCGCTCCCGCCCAGTTCAGTCTCACCTAATATCCGGCACACGTCATCACAGTTCTGGTTGATTTCGTGGAGCCACCGCTTGACATTGACGAAGGACTCTGCGCTGGTGACATCGTACACCACAATGACCCCGTGGGTCCCTCGGTAGTACCTGGAGGGCAGAAGGAGCTGCATCAGGGCTTGCTCGAGACATCTACAACCAAGCTCCCTGCCGACAGGAAGAGGACAACAGCCCAGCATTCTCAAAGAGGACAACAGGGCTGAAGGTCCAAAAAGAGCGGGCACCGAGCCCAGCAGAGGCTTGACGAGCCATCTGCTCTCCTCCTGGTCCTGTTCCCATGTGCGTTTAGCCAAACCTCCTTCCCAAACAGTCTTAGGTCAGATCAGACTTAAGAGAGCAGGAACTTAGGGGCAGCTAGGTGGCACAGTGGATAGAGTGCTGGCCCTGGACTCAGGAGGAACCAAATTCAAATCTGGCCTCAGATACATAACACTTACTAGCTATGTGACCCTGGGCAAGTCACTTAACTCCAAATGCCTCACAAAAAAGACAGCAGGAACTTCCCAGAAGCAGGGCTGGGTCCCTGGTCGGGTAAAGAGTCAGCACCTACGTTCCTCTTCAAAAGGCAAAAAGGAGCTTTCCTTCGCTGTTGTTCCCTGGCCCTGGTATGGACCTGCTGAGCATTCCTGGGCAACCACAGATGGAATGGAGGAAAGAAGCCCAGGCCTGCCAACCACACTGGCTATCAAGGCCCTAGGCCCTCAGATGCCAGCGGAGTACAGACAGAGGGGGCAAGCCTCCTTTGACAAAATGCTTTAATATCCCCCTAGCCAAGAGATGCTTCTGCAGAGCCTTGAGGTCTCAAAATACTAACAAATGCCTACAGAGTTGTTTAATCCTCTCTCTTCTTTAATTTATTTAAGCTTCACAACAATCCTAGGAAAGAGGAGCTTACAAGGTATTATTATCCCCATTTTGCAGATGAGTAAAAAGGTGACTTGCCCAGAGTCACACAGCTAGTAAGTTTCAGAGGCAAGATTTGAACCCAGATCTTCCTGACTCCAAGTCCAAGACTCAATCCAATATGCCAGACAGCATCCCTGTAGGAGGAAAGAAAGAACCCAGGGATCCTGGTTCTAGGTGAAGATCTGAAGATTGTCCTTCCCCCTGCAATTTTCATACAACCCAGAGCTGGCTACGCCTCTCAGAGCTCAGCTGGAATGGCTCCTTCCTGGGGAAGACATCACAATCACTCCCTGACACACAGAGAGCTTCCTGCCTACCAGAGAAATCCAGCCATTTGCACCTCTTCCTCCTTAATAATCCTACAGGCCAATCCTAAGACCTCAACAAAGCCCCAAGAAAAGGAACAGGGTCATTTGAGGAATGACCAAACAAATTAGGGGATGGGAATATCATGGAATATTCCTGTGCTGTAAGAAATGACAAAAGAGGGGCAGCTCGGTGTTTCAGTGGACAGAGCACAGGCCCTGGAGTCAGGAGGACCTGAGTTCAAATCCGGCCTCAGACACATAACCCTCACTAGCTGTGTGACCCTGGGCAAGTCACTTAACCCCAACTGCCTCACACACACAAAAAAAAAAAAGAAAAAAAAAGAAAAAAAAGAAATAAGAGACTGTTTCCAAGAAATCCGGGAAGACTTATATGCACTGATACAGACTGAACTAGGGTAAAAATAAAAAGTCATATAACAACAACATTGTAAAAATAAACAACTTTGAAAGATTTAAGTACTGTGTGAAATGACTCCAGAGGGGAAAGATTTGAGATGAGGGATAAGACAGGTATTTTGGACGTGAAAAAAGCTGCAATTTGTTTTGCTTCATTATGAATATTAAATTCACAAGAGGTTTCCACTCCCCCCCCCCACAACCCTTCTCAGTAGGAAGGAGAAAATAAGTTTTTTTTTCTTTATTTAAAAAAAATGAAAGAGAAAAAAAAGGAATGAGGCCTAAGACCCTTAGTAGCCTCAAGAGGGTCTGCTCTGCTGCCCAAGGTTAGGTTTTTACTCTCCCACACTGGCAATCTAGCCAGTCCCAAGGCTCATTAAGAGGCCACAGCTGGCAAGTTCTGGGGCTGCAGGAAGAATATCTCCCCCAGCCCTCAGTTCTCCCCCGCAGCAGAAGGCACCCAGGGCTTATCAGGGACAGCAGCCAGCCAGGCTGGGAAGGCAGCAGAGCTCTCCTCCCTCCTGCTGCCAAGGGGCTGCTCCCCCATACCTTTCACTTGGTGGTGGCAGCAAGAACCCAAGCAAACCAACCACTTTTTCTCCCTGAGATCAGACTCCCTGTTACTGGGAGAGGAGATGGGATACCATGTAAAGGGTTCCCCAGGAGTTGCTTTTCTTGGGAAGGGGAAAGGGAACAAGCATTTATTAAGTGCCTACTATGTGCTGGGCACCATGCTAAGCACTTTACAATTATCTCAATGAATGAGCTACTTCAGGGCTTGTCTATCAGCTCCTAGCACAAGGGACTGCTGTACTTGTGGGCTCAGACAAGGCTGGAAATAGGACAAAGTCAGCAGCTGTAGTACTCTGAGGCTAAGCAGTTTTTGTCTGGGGTCCACTGTCACCTTTCTCTAGGAGGGCCGGGTGTGGAAATCAGTTCTCTCCTAATCTGGTTTTGCACGTGACCCCTGAGGGACCCCTATCTCTCAGAGCCCATTCTGGCCCTGTTCACTGTCCCCTTCCAGCCCACGCCTCCCTTTCTGGGGCAAAACTCAAACACACAGTTTGGAGAAGAGCAAGGTATACTTTCGGGGGCTGGGAACAGAGGAAGAAAGCTAGGAAGCCTCAGCCAATGTGACAGATTTAACCTGTCCTTGTGCCAGAAGAGGAAATGTTCAAAGAAAAATGAAGTTTTAAAATTCTTGGCTGAAGAACGCCAAGAAAGTCTTTGTCACAATGAATCTGCAGCTCCACGCTCCAAGTCCCCAGCCTCCAAAAGGGAATCTTCTCCACTGCCTCACTCTCACAATAGATCCCCTTAATAAAAGGATTTGTTCTGTAAAACTTGGACTCAGTCAAAGGACCGCACTTGAGGACCTAGAGGGCCACATGTGGGCTCGAGGCCGCAGGTCCCCCACCCCTGCATCCACTCTCCAGTGACACATGCTTTCTATGTCTTGTGCTTCTGTCCTCAGGGAACCATGGAATAGTGGAGTTGAAAGGCGCCGCTGGCATCGGCTAGTCTAACCAATGTATTTTAGAGATGAGGAAAATGAGGCATAGAGAAGTAAACTAACTTGCCTAAGGTCCCATATTGAGCTAGCAACAGAACTCAAGCACTTGACTCCTAGAATACAATGCTTCTCCCAAGATGCTTGGCTCTCTGTCCCCTTAGAAGCTCAGTTTCCTGAAAGATAGCTCTTCCACTCACCTAATCCCAGTGGCTGTAACTGGGCTGAGGTGAAGGCAAAGAAAGACCTTGGCTTTTTATCTCAGGGAGGCATGGGGCATTCAGAGAGAAAAGGATGACGAGGCAATCAGAATCCTGCTTCTTATCACCTCCTGGTGTAACCATTCCTGAGGCCTATTCAGCCAACCTCAGAATGAGGAGCTTAACCTTGTGGAGCAGCAAGTCCTGGTTACCAAAAGTGAGATACCAGAAGTTGGTACACTGATCTCTTGCTTAGTAAAGACTTCATTTCTTAGTTAATTCCTGTGAATCAGAAAAACCGTCTCTTTTCTTAGAGCCTAGAATACCACTTTTATCTCCCAGACACTACCCACACACCCACACTCAGATTCTGCAAGAGTGTGTGCGTGTGTGCGTGCGTGTCTCTCTCTCTCCCTCTGTCTCTCTCTCTCTCTCCCTCTCTCTCTCTCTCTCTCTCTCTCTCTCTCTCTCTCTCTCAAAGTGAACTCTGGAAATATTTCAATTCCTCGAGATGTCTTCTGGACAGTTGGAGCAGAATGCCTAACCTCTCTGGGCCAGCCTGAATTCCTATAACAAGCCCTACTGCATCCCTGGAAAACAGGCGTAGAGCAAAGACAGAGTTTAAGGTTCTGCCTCCACAGACACAGATAATTCGGTAGCCAAGGCGCTAGTATGGCTGCCGGCTGATCTGCACAAAGCCCTCTTCTCCCCAAAAGTGAGCAGTTAGGTTTGCCTTTGGCCTCAGCCTCTCCTTCCTCCCAACAACCCTCAACTCTCTCCAGGAATAGCCATTAAGCAGCTCAGCAAAACAAGGAGAAGGGCATGAAGAGGAAGAATGAGGGAAGGTGCCTTTCTGGTCCACTTCCCAGATTAGTCCAGCACCATTGAAGGAAAGAGGCACATTTCACAGCGGCCGAGCAGAGCTGAGCCAGGAGAGACCTCCTACTAAGGAGTTTTTCTGAGATTTAAATCCCACCTCTAGTAAGAGGCTGCAGAAGTCCCCAGCATCACCACGCATCCAAAACCTTTCTTTTAATCACAGGCCCAGCTTCCCCAAATTCAGTTTGCTTTGTCCCAACCCTACACAAAGCATCACATCAACCCATTTTCCCTAGTTCCTTTCTATGCTGTCCAGGGTCCTTCTAATCTCCCTTTGCAGGGTGACTTCTAGAATCATCTCTGATCCTCACTTTCCCCACCTGTAATATAGAGGAAACAATGCCTTTAGCGTTTGTCTCATAGAGCCACTGTAAAGATCAGTGAGATTCTTGACAGAAAGCATTTTGCAAACATGAAGGGGTCAGTTAGACTTATCTGTGATTGCCACAGCTTCTGAGTCTTGGCCTCCCCATCTGCAAAATGAGGAAGCTAAACTAGCTCAGGAGTTCTTAACCCAGGGTCCATGAGGTCCACAAGGACCCCAAGATGTTGGCCAGTAGAACTTAGATGGGGAAAAAAAAGTCTACCTTTATTTTCGCTAACCTCTAAACAAAACTTAGCATTTCTTTCAAATACTAATTTAAAAAAACAAAAAACAAAAAAACCTGATTCTGGGCAAGGACCCATCCCGTGACTGCTGACAAAAGGGTCTGGACATAAAAAAGGTGAAGAAGCCAGTTGGAAGCTGAGGCTCCTGTGACAGCAGACGCCAGAATCCTGGATTTCACTGGATAGCCTTGGAACTCTGAGCAGTCTGCTCCCAAAACCCTAGCTGCCCCTCACAGCCTTTTCTATGCTTTGCCAAGTATGCAGCCCACTCCCAGGGTCTTCTGATTCTGTGTGCTTGAAAGCCTCACCTGTAGCTGCTACATCTTTTTTTTTTGGGGGGGGAAGCAACTGGGGTTAAGTGACTTGCCCAGGGTCACACAGCTAGTAAGTGTCAAGTGTCTGGTCTGAGACTGGATTGGAACTCAGGTTTTCCTGACTCCAGGGCCAGTGCTCTATCCACTGTGCCACCTAGCTGCCCCCTGGAGCTGCTACATCTTAAGAACAAGAGAAACCCTCAATCACAGGAAGCAACTTCAGAGCTTTTTCCCCAAATGGCAGCTGCCTTTGACACCAGTGTCACAGGCACCCCAGTGACTTCAATGACAAGTTCCACTCCAAGCCACCAGCAGGCTGCCCTCCTGACAAACAGGTAAGCCATGCCCACAGCCCACTCAACATCCATGCTTAGCTTCTCATTACCATTCATCTACCGCCCCAGGGGAGCTGCCAGGCCTCTGAGTGCACACACAGGAAGCACAGGAAGCCTGGTTTCCGGGTGGCTACTCCAGGAGCAACAATCTTAGTAGAGATTTGAAGAAAGAGGACCTAAGGCTAGGTGACCATCTGTATTCCCAGCTGAGGAGCTGTGAGGGAAAAGGAGTCACTGTCTTGGATCCTACTTAAACATCCTGAGAAGCCCAAATCCCCCGACATCCTGCCATGTGGGAATCAGGCTGGATTGCACCCCTTATTTGCAGCTGAGAACAGGAAAGATGCTATTTGAGGACAGCTCAGTGGCAGTAAGTCGCCTGACAGGCCCTGCTGAAGAGCTCTAAGCAATCACTCTGCCTCTGCTGCCCCAAACCACTTCCTGTCTGAGGTGGCTCCCAGATGAAAGTGAAGTCACGCCTGGACAACCCTGGAGAAGCCCCGGCTCCCTGGACAAACAGCTCGGAGCAAACAACACAAATGTCACGGAGCCTCAGGAAAAGGAGCAGCGTCCTAACGAGGAAATATGTGCAGGGACTCCCAGCTAAGAACGCGGCCACTCAGACAAGTGCTACATGCTGCAGGAGAAGCTGGGGAGCCCCCAAGGATGGCCAGACAGGAGCGATCTCCCAGCCACCCCCAACAGGGCTGCAGCCGGCTTCTCCTCCAATGCTGGACAGCCAGGGGCGGGGGCTTCAGAAACTGGAAAAACTCTGAGGACAATGACTGCCAAACAACTCTGCCTCCAGCCAGGTTTACCTTCTCCCCAAAGACAGACTCTCAGTATCGTTCCCTGCCCCTTCCACCCTGAGACAGACTCTGACACCATCCAGATGGGGTGTGAACAGTCAGCAGGCAAGAAGGCAAGGAAGGGGACACAGCAGCCCACCCTGGAGAGCCATGTGCGGCCCACGCCTGCCAGACTCACGTGGAGGTGATGGTGCGGAAGCGTTCCTGCCCGGCCGTGTCCCAGATCTGTAGTTTGACCTTCTCCCCATTGATCTCCACGGTCCGGATTTTGAAGTCCACCCCAATTGTGGTAATGTAGCTGCCTATACAAAAAGACCACGTTACAGAGGCTCCTACAGCTGAGACCAGGCCCCAGCATTCTAGGGAAGCTGCTGACCTCTCCTGGCCTGAGCTGGGCTCTCCCTTCCCAGAGTTCACCGAGCTCTGGCTCAGCCCGCTGTAGAACTAGCAGAAGCCAACGACACAGCTGGAGCGAGAAGACAGAGGTCAACAACCTCTCCCGAGCCCAGAAGCAATGACACACAGCAAGGAAGACCATCTGCCCCACTTTCCAATCACACCGCAGCTCTTTATTGATGCAAGCTGAGACGCCACCAGGGTGGCCTGCTGGGGGTGCCCTGGTCTGCTCCGCTACCATCACAAGCTCCTCCCAACTCAACTCCTTCCTCCCATCTCTTTTCCCCTTTTTCTCTTCCTCCTCAGGTAACAGTCTAGGGCAGACTGAGAGGTCAATGTTCTTGGCTTCTAGGAAAAGGAAATTCAGAGGAAAAAGAGCCTGGCAGGCCCCTTGGCATTGCTCACCTGAGAAAGTGTTGTCTGCAAACCGTAACAGCAAGCTGCTCTTGCCCACGCCTGCAAAAGAAGAAAAAATGCTAAGGGTTTGTAGGCCACCAAGAGGACAGGTCATGGTGTGATTTCCTCCAGAGCTCAGGCTCTTCCTGCTGGAAGCCAAGGAGCCAAAGACAGGAGTGACCGGCAGGTCCGTTCCATTTTAAAGGGGGGGCGGGGGGGAGGAGCAGGGTGAGGGTCCAAATCCCAACTGCCTCCTTCAGTCTCTTCTGTAAAAGGGACATCATAATCCACCCTGCCTCTCTCTCAGGGCTGTCTGGGGTAGGCATTGTGAACCATAACAGACTGCAGAAATGTCAACTCCATGTCAATAGGTTAAAGGTCCATAATTTCCTCAGAACTCCCAGCATATACTCAGGAGAGAGATCACCGGGAGGAGTCCAAGGTTCAGTGACTAACCCATGGTCACACAGCTATGTAAGTCAGGTCTTATTCACTATGACTTTTCACTGCCAGGCCTAAACCCAGCTCTTTCTGACTCAAAGACCAGCACTCTATAAAGGTACCCATAGGGTAAACCAATCCCATTCAATCACCTGCCTTTCTCCTGGTCCCTGAAACACCCACTGGCTGATTCAATTTCCTGAAGTGCTAGCTAAGAGTGAAAAGAAAGAAAACTCTTTCTTCACTCTAAGAATCATCTCAGGGGCATATGATCCAGGTCCCTGTACTTGCGAGCCTCCCCTCCCGCAGCAGCCCAAAGGATGCGACAAGCCAGTGACGGCTCTAGGGAAGGGGGTCAAGTCAATCAGGCAATATTTGCTACTACTACTACTACAGCCAGCACTTGTTACTTATGTATCACTTTCACATTTACAGTATGTTCTGCACATATTATTTAATTTGGGTCTCAAAACAAACCCATGAGGCCCTTTGACTAAATCCAAACTTCACAGAACAAAGGTAAAATTTGGATTCAAAGGGCTGTACTTGAGGACCTAGAGGCCGCAGGCTCCCCACCTAGAGCTAGAAGAGACCTCAGAAGCTCTAGCTCAGGGGTTCTTGACCTTTTGGTCAGGGATCCCTCTGAGAGTCTGCTGAATCCTACAGATCCTGTAAAGGAAGGTAGATAGATTAAAGTGCTGGGCCTAAAGTCAGGGAGACCTGAGTTCAAATCTCGCCAGTCACTTAACCTGTCTGCCTCGGTTTCCTCATCTGTAAAATGGAGGCAATAACAGCACCTATATCCCAAGGTTATTGTGAGGATCAAATGAGATACTATTTGTAAAGGGCTCAGTCCAGCGCCTGGCACATAGGGGCCACTCAAGAAATGTGTTTTCTATCTTCTCAGGATACTGTTTTTAAATGCACAAAATAAAATCTGAATTACAAAGAAAATCAATCATACTGAAAGACAACAATAGTAATACCTAGCACCTGCACAGGGCTTCAAGTTTTGCTAAGCATTTTATCCTAACACCCCTCGGAGGCAGGTGCTGTTATTATCCCCATTTTTATAGATGAGGAAACCAAAGCAGACAGAGGGAAGTGACTTGCCCAAGGTCACACAGCCAGTACATGTCCAAGGCTGGATTTGATCCAGGTCTCCTTGATTCCAGGTTCAGAAGTCCTGATCTAATCCAATCTCTTCAATTTTCTTATTAAAAAACAACAGGGGGCAGCTAGGTGGTGCAGTGGATAGAGCACCGGCCCTGGATTCAGGAGGACCTGAGTTCAAATCCGGCCTCAGACACACAACACTTACTAGCTATGTGACCCTGGGCAAGTCACTTAACCCCACTGCCTTAAAAACAACAACAACAAAAACCTGAGGCCCAAAGAGGTCTCCCCACTGCCACACAATAAACGAATGGCAGTCATGTTGACACCTAGAGTGCTAATTCCCAGGCCCAGCATGCCTTCTGCATACACCACATTAGCCTACTATTTCTGCTTCTGTTACTGCTGGAAATGCTCAGTGGAGGAGCTACTGGCCCGTGATGCTGACATATCCACAACACAAACTAGAAGCCCGACAAAGGCGTACTCACACACACGGAGCTCAGTACCCCGAGGCGTGTTCACATGCCCGCAGACAGCACAGGAACACCCAAGTCTCCCCACCCTGGTCCAACAGGTGACATCTTTGGCAATGGCCCTACCAGGAGGCTAAGAAAAGTAGCCTGGATTCTCCTTAGTCCAACCCTGCCAACAAATCTCTGGAATAAGACCTTGACCAGAAAATGGGAACCAAAAACCCTTAAGGCAATCACACTAGACCCTTCATGTCAAATGTGTATGTGCAATGCTATCAAACTCAAAGATTAATTAACTTCTCCAAGACTCAACAATTGGAACCCAAAAACTGTTTGTTGGCTGTTAGTCCACTACTTCAGGCCAGGCTTGATTCACTTCCCTACTTCCCAGAAGTCTCACTAACTGCCATGCCCTCGACCCCTCCTGTTCTGGAACCAAGATCAAGGCAACTCAGCTGGCACTCCTCTGTCTGTCTCCAGCCCTGCATCCCCACTCAGCATCCCTGCAATGCGAGCACCAAAGTGGCCTCCCAGGCCCCCTTCCACATAGCAGGCTGTCTCCCCCATTCAGATGTAGTTCTTCTGAGGGGAGAAACTATCGTTGCTTCTGTACTCATATGCTCAGTGCTCAGCACTGAGTTTATCATTCATTCATTCAGGCACGTCTCAGGACACCTCACAAGATTCCTTCCAGGTATGTCTTACCTGACTACCATCTAACTGACCTGGTAACCCAAAGGGGTTTGGTTTATGGAAAACACTAGCCAGTATAAGCAGGGAAGAAAAGAATAGACCCCAAGTGCTACTACACCCAGAGTACCGCAGCTCAGCCCTTCAGCCTGAAGCCTGGAGCTCTGTTACTTCCTCATTGAAATCTCAGATCCTCCCAGTCATCTGTGAGGCTTCCTGCTGGGAGTAGTCCACATGAGGCTCCTGGGCTGGGTCTTTCCAATAGGCTCTGCCCAAGGCCCAGCTGTCCTGTTTGCTTCCTCCCCTCTCCCACAACCTCTAGCCGCTAGCTCATTCAGCAGAAGCCAAGAGGGTCTGTGTCTGTCTCTGTACTATGGCCAGATCCCAAGCTTTCTTATGACACCCACACTGCTGGAGCAGAGGCCACTGGAGTTACTCCTGACACCATACTGGAGACCCCATTAGGAAGGAAAGCACTCTAGTGGGAGGGAGAGAGCTCCTCCTGAACCCCTCAAAGGAAGGCCTCGTTGAGAGTATCCGTAAACACCATTTATCTAACAGCTCCCAGCCCAAGGAAGGAAGTGAGGGTACCAATTTACCTTAGCCACAGAGAAAATAAAAGGTCAACAACAGTTGGTGTGAAACCAAGTGACCAGAGCCCTCACATCTGACATTAGCAGTGCAAGCTTCTGAGCTTGGCAGCCGAGGTTTCCTTGTGGTTTGAGCAGTTAATCTACACTGCAAATTGAAGGATGGGAGTGGTCAGTGGCCACCATGCCCTGGTAAATCCCAAATGTAGCATTCTTAATTCAGAGTCTAAACTAAGACAGCATCAAAGGAGCAGGACTGCACTTTAGGCACGAAGAGCTCAAGTCTTTGTGGAGGGAAGAAGCTCCTGGTCACAAAATACCCCCAGCCCCAACTCTCCAGACAATTTAGGTCCTCCCGGACCAGAACAGTTCGTGAAGTCAGGCTAGTGACGTTCAGACTCTCCTCCCAAACATGCTCAGAGCTGAGGAACACCAGAAGCAGGACAATACAACAAGCTGCAATAGGCAGCTTGCTCACTATACACAAGGCCAGACCAGACCTTCTCTCACTTCAACTTCCACACACCTTAGACAACAAACTGTTCACAGACTTGAGTTATATGAGCCAGACCACATAAATCATGACCTAAAGAGGCCTGGCCTACACCATACACAATGTTAAGAAGTACAGTGGGACACAAGGCCAAAACTACCTCCTGGGCTTTAAATGGGGAGGGGGAGGTGGGTGTCAGACTTAGGAAGGAGTCAGCTTTTCATTTTCAGATCTCAAAGCACAACAACCTTTCCCACCTGAAATCCAGATGTCTTTCTGAGGAACAAGGCCCATAAACACAATAACTGAGTTCACTAATTCTTTGGGAAGAGAAATCACCTTCAGTCATAGCTCTCGCTCCCCGTGTCCCCTCCACCTTTGCCGCATCTGAGGCCAAAACATAACCCCTGAAAAGGCATACGGTGCACTGAGTGTACAAATGAATTCTAAAGGCCATCAATCTTCAAAAGAATGGCAGCACAAGTATATTCTACTCAAGAAAGAAGAGAAACTGAAGCAAGGGTAAGAGGTAGCTCTGATCTGTCGATCCCTCAGCCCCAGCAGCCCATCTTTTTAATGCCCTAAACCTCTGAGAGATCTTGCCCTTCATCTTCCAACTGAGCCCATAAAAGCTCTCCACTGTTTGACCTACCCAAACCACCACACTAGCCCACAACCATCCCAACAACCAAGTATGACTGCTCTCCTGGCTCACTCCCCATGACAAACTTGCTGCCTGGTCCCCACTGCCTTTGTCTATAACCAATTTTGTTAAATCCCTTCATCCTCCCAGCACCATCCCCGACATAAGCTTTTTCTAACACCCAATATGCTCCACTTTCAACCTTGCCTCTGCCACTGGTCACATGACAGCCTCTTCCACACTCAGCCCTGACCAGAGCCTAAAGCTGCCATGCTCCCAAATCTCCTCCCCTTTCATCCTAATCCTCTAACACCTGCTACACTCCTCTCTTCACCATAAACCTACTCTGCCTCTGCCTTTCTGACCCCTGTCACCCCGTAAACCTTTTCACCCTTTGGCTCCCAACACAACCCATTCTAACCACTCAAACCACACTAAGGGCCTCTTTGCAGCCGTTAAAAGAACCTGCACTGCTAAAATATAAACCTTTCAACAGGGCTCGATTTCTGCTGAACTGCACTGGAAAGTGGACTAGGTTTGGAATCCAGGGCCTGGGTTCAAATCCTAGCCCCGTCACTTCCAAACTGGGCAAATCACTCCTCCCAGCCTCAGTTTCTTCATCTGTTACTTGACTAGATGATCTGTTAAGTCCTTTCATACTTCGTATGTGGTCCTCAGCCCACCTCCCCTCGGTCAAGGAGAGAAAGAAGGGATTAAACCTGCTTCCTTTTCAGCAGCGGGGTTTGGGGGGGAAAGGGCGTAGGGAAAGTGACTTAAGCAAGGTCACAAGTCGGGGACAGAAATCCCAACCGAACTCCAGTTCGCCAGACACCCCGCTTTCCTTTTCTCCCCTCCCCCAAGGGCTCTTCTGCTCTCCCCTTCCCATCCACAGCGCCAGCATTTAACCCCGACAGACACCCCCCCCATTCCCCCAAAGCTGGACATGCCCGATCTCCACCGCCCTCACCACGCCCCAATTCCAAATCACTGCCGGCAGCTTGCCTTTCTGGGCGGGGGTCGCCCCAGCCCTCCCACCCCAATGACCTCGGCCCTCTTCCACCCTTCTCTCCGGAAAGAGACCACGGACCTCCCAGCCCCCCCGCCCCGGGAACCAAAGGGGATCCACGGGCCTCCACGACCCTCGCTCCAACCCCGGGTCATCCGAGGACCCCCTCCCAGGCTTGGATCACGACCCGCCCCCCCAGCCCGGGCCGGGGCCACGGGTTCCCACGGCCTCTGATCTCCCCTCCCGAAGGGGTCAGGGGTTTCGGCGCCCCCCGGCCGGAGCGCCCGCGCGCCCCTCACCTGACCGCCCCCTCCCCCGGGCGCCGCCCTCCCTCCCGCCCAGGGGTCCGGGCCCGGCCGCCGCCCTGGGCCCCTCGCTCACCGCTGTCGCCGATGATGAGCAGCTTGAAGAGATGGTCGTAGTCCCGGGCCATGGCGGGTGGCGGGCCGGGCCGGGCCGGGACAGGCCGGGCGGGCCGGAGAGCAGGGAGAGGAAGGGCGGGAGGGAGGGCCGCAGGGCGGGGGCGGGCGGCGGGCGGCGAGCGGGCTGGCGGGCCTGGCGATCCGCGGCAGCTCCGGGCCCCGGCGGATCCACTTCCCGAACAAACAGCCGGAACTGACAGAAACGCCTCCCTCCGCCCCTCGCCCCCCCGCCCCCACGCCCTCCCTCCTAGCCTCCCGGCTTCCCGCCCCGCCCCGTCCGCCGCCACTGCGCACGCGCCTGCGGCACCGCCCGCCCTCGCCCGCTTCTGCGCACGCGCCTACGGCACCGCCCCGCCCTCACCCGCCTTTGCGCAGGCGCCTGCCTTCCCCCACCCCACCCTCTGCTCTCTCGGTCCGTCCGGCTCTGGGCGAACGGACGCCGCTGCCGCGGGCGCCGCCGCCCCGCCTCCCCCGCTCCCCTTACTCCTCGCGTCGAGTTCTGCGCAGCCGCAGCCGCAGCCACCGCCTCTAGGACGGACAGCTCCGCTACTGCGCACGCGTGACTGAAGCCCTCGCGCCGCACTCGCGCAGTGCGCAGGCGTGGCGAGGAGGCGGGCTTTCGCGCGCTGCTCTTACTCTTTCAGGGTCGTAGCCGCCTCCGGGCTGAGGGGACGTGGTCGCGGCGGGGCGGGAAGGGCCGGAGGTCCGGAGCGACGACTGCCCAGTTACCACCGCCTCCTCGTCTCCTGAGAGCGGGCATTTCTGTAGCTCTCACTGGAGCGTCCTGGCCACCCCCGTGAGGTAGGTGCCGCAGTTATCCCCACTTTGCAGAGGAGGAGACTGAGGCTCCGAGAGTTTAAATGCCGCGGGAGTGGTGAGGGGCCGCGAAGGAGGACCCGGAACCTGGACCCCTCCTCAGACCCTGGCAAGGCGCTTCACTCACCCAAGGACCCGCTCTGCTCCGGATGGAGGGAGGATTCGAACCCAGGTCTTCCGGCTCCACTGCCTTCCCGTCTCTCCTCTTCGCGGTGCTTTGGAAAGCGCTTTGCAAACCCGAGGCGCCACAGAGCCCCGAGCCGTTAGGTTTAGCGGTGCTGAGTGCTGATTGAGGACGAGTTAGTTACCATTGATCAAGCTCCTCCTGGTTGCCAGGCCCCAGCACTTGGGCTCCGTACAGAGGCCCCTGCCCGCCAGGAGCTTACAGTCTAACGGGGAGATGAGCTACAAACAAACACGCACGGGCTGGCCCCAGGAAGTAAGTGGCGGAGGGGAGGTCCTGGAATTGAGGGGCTTGGGGAGGGCTTCCTGTAGGAGGTGGGATTTTAGCCCAGAGTCGGAGAAAGTAGGCTGAAAGTCCGAGTTCCAGGTCTGCCACCCTCTCGCAGCGTGACTTTGGGCAGATGACCATTTCAGAGCTGTTACCATCCAGTCCGTCGCGGGGTTCCACTGCTGGTGCCCTCCCTCCCGAATTAACCTTTCATTTATTCTCTTTCTTATTACACATATACATGCACATGTGACCACATCGATATGGTAAGATGGTCTCCTCTGATACAGCATGGAAGCCCCTTGAGAATAGAGATTATTTAATTTTCTGTCTTTGTCTTTGCAGGATTTAGTACACTGCCTGCTTAATAAATGATGATTGATAAAAGAGAACTGGCACAATTCTCATTCTAATAATAATAGCTAGTATTTATATAGTGCCTGCTATGTGCCAGGCACAACGCTTTACAAATATCTCATTTGATACAAAACCTTGGGAGGGAGGTGCTATTATTATCCTCATTTTACAAATGAGGAAACTGAGGCAAAACAGGTCAAGTGACTTGCCCAGGGTCACATAGCTAGTAAGTGTCCAGGACAGGATTTGAACTCAGGTCTTCCTGACCTCACCCCTAGTACTGTATTTACTAGGCCACCAGCTGCCTAAACTTCAAAATCTGCTTGAGGCAGGTTGTTAGATTTTTTGATTGCTCTAACATCTCATTTTTCTGGGCCTTATTTTCTTCATCTCTAAGATGGAAATAATACTTGGCCTATAAAGATGAGGAAAGTTGGAAACTGTCAATACTGAAAGGTTTATGGAAAGACAAGAACACTATTCCATTGGTGATGGAGCTGCGGGGTTAGCACAATCCTTCTGAAAAGGAATTTGAAATTGTGCAAGTAAAGTGACTTTGTTTTGATAGTATCTGTTAGACATATACTTCAAAGAGGTGATAAACAAAAGAAGAAACGGTTCATATGTAGCAAAATAGTAGCAAAGAATTAGAAACAAAGCAGACATCCATTATGTGGTGAATAAAAAGAAGCATGGAAAGAGTTACATAAACTGATGCAAAGTGAAGTAACCAGGGCCAAGGAAAGCAATATACACAATGACTACAATGTAAATAAAAATGATACCCACAAAGCAATCAAAAAGAAGAAGCTCAGCCCAAAAGAAGAGATACGAGAAGATACTCCGTCCTGCTTTTTTGCTGAATGGAGTGGAAGGAAGGTGGTCATGGGTTTGGAACGTTAAATATAGTACCATGAGTTTTTATGCATTTATTTATCTGCTAGGGTTGAGTTTTTCCTTTTTTTTTTATTCTTTAATGGCTGGCTCTCTGGGAAGGAGGTGAAATAATATAGGGAAATCTAGATGGCGTAAAAACAAAAGATATAAATAAAAATCTATTTAAAACAATAATTATACTTGTCCTACTTTCTCTGGGTTAGGAGGAAGTTGTAAGCCTCCAAGTGGGGTAGAAACAGGAGTCGCTATTATCTGTGACGCTGTGTACCTGGTAAAGACCAGTGGATTTGGAATCAGGACCTGGCCTCAGTCTTGGCTTTGCTACGCACTGCATAGAAACTTGAAAAGCAAATCCCTTCACCGGCTGGAGGTTTTTTCATCTATATAATAACCTTGAAGGTCCTTTGTAGCTCTAGCTCTTTAGTGCTAGGTTACTAGATTTTTGATGACCTAAAGGATTTAGGTTTTATACAGAATTTAAACTGTGGATACTCACCCCATTGCAGTCAGTCTACACTTTAGTAGCCAACCTTCTAGAACCCTGACTGCATCTGAGGAGACTCTCTAGTGTCAGCTGAGCTAGCTTTCAGGCAACAGCCGTCACTGGGTACATAGAAGCTTCTCCAGCTTGATAGGACCTGTGAGAGCTTGTTCTCCTTTGGCAGAGAATGTAGAACCTAATGCCACCTCCGTGCCAGGATGAGCATCAGAATTCTGAGAGAACGTGTTATAGGTATTCTAGGTTCCTTCAAACCTCCAGACCAAATAGTTCTGCCCCCTTATTTTACACATGGGAAAACAGACCCGGAAAGGTTAAATTAATTACATGGGTAGTAAAGAATTAGAAGTTGGAGGAGGATTTAACGGGATGCGTATGCACATGTATAAAGTAGAATGTGATAGAAGCAAAGAAGAGATCAAGAAAAAGTGTTCCAGAAAATCTGGGGAGGCAAATAACACTCAGCTGGAACCCCCAGGGAAGACTTCAAAGGGCTGAACCTTGAAGGAAGGACCAGAATTCTAAGACACACATGTGAGGAGGGAAAGCACATCCTTCTGGGCCTGGGCAAAAGTTTGTGCAAAAGTACAATGAAAAGGGGCAGCTAGTGGATAGAGCACCAGCCCCGGAGTTAGGAGGACCTGAGTTCAAATCTGGCCTCAGACGCGTAACACTAGTTGTGTGACTCTGAGGAAGTCACTTAACCCCAATTGCCTCACCAAAAAAAAAAAAGGACAATGAAAGGAAATGTAGTGTCGGGTTTGTAACTGAAAGCATGAAAGGGGAGTGATGAGACTATACTGGAAAGGTAGTTTGGAATCAGGTTGTAGAGGGCCCGGAATGCCAGGCTAACAAGTTTGTATTTCACCGAAGTTGCATGAAAGCTGGATTTTAGGAGCGGGAGACAAGGCAGGAACTGTATTTTGTGTGCCTCCTGCTCATCCTCATCCACAAGTAGTGCGACCTTGTGACTGTAGACAAAACTGTGAAGTCGTCCCTCTGCCCCTTTCAGGAATTGGCCCTGCTTTCCACCTCTTACCTGAGAGGTGCTTCCTACTCTGGTGCTTCCCTGGTCAGAGCTCCTTCCCTCCCTAAGGCCCAGCGCCTTGCCTGACTCATTCTACTTCGCCAGAGCCAAACAGACCTCTCTGCGTCCCCTTACTGCCTGAGGTCACTGCTAACTAATAGCTCCGGTAAAAATAGAAAGAGTGTCATGCATCCCTTTCGGTTCTGGGGCACTCCTTATTTCACAGTTGAGAAAACCGAGGCCCAGAGAGATCAAATCAAGATTGCTCATATAGTAAGGAGCAGAGCCAGAATTCACATCTAACGCTTTGACTTTATATTCCACAGCTCATTACACCATGCATTTGCCCAATTTCTCTTGGACTCAACTACACTTAAAGTGAGTTAGTGTGCGTTGTCTGCCACCTCTAGAAACTGCTTTATGTCCAAATGTTGTCAGAGTGGGTTTGGCCTACTTTGACTTCAGTCCCACCCTGAGACAGGCACAGGGACTCCCCAAAACCTGCCTGGCCTCTATACTAGGCTTCACATTCAGCTGTCCAGCCGTGAGGTTTCCAGGGCCCACTCTTTCAGACTAAGGAAGGTGAATCCCTCCTAGGAGATAGGGTGACAGTGCCAGTTCAGGAATCCTTTCTGCATTATTCCGGACACTTCATGTTTCCTGGAAGGCCTTGAGCAGGGGCCTCCCAGGCACTGTTGGATATGTTCCCTCTTTCTCCTCCCCCTATTAAATGCTTTAAAGTTCATAAAAGGCTTTGCCACTTTGAAGCAAATAGTGCCAGGGTCATTATTCCTGTTTTACAAATGTGGAAAGAGGCTTTAAAAAGGAGAGGGACTTGTCCAGGGCTTAGCTAGTGAAGGCTGGAAGCCAGATTCCTGCTCAGGTAATCTTGACTCCAAATCCAGGCCTGTTTCTCCCTTAGGATGTTGCCTCTATAATCAGATAAACTAATGTTTGCTCCAGTAGTAATGGCTCTGTGGTTGTGTGAAAAGGGGGTGGAAATCTCAACATGAGTGAGGAGTGTGATGGGA